GTTTCTGCACAGTCTTGGGGGTTCGAGAGGCCGTCGTGGGAGCTCTGAGCTCCCGAGAGGCGAGAATGCTCAGCTACTTGGAAAAAACCTGAAGGCCTACAGTGGAGGCCAGTCCACAAGAAACCTTCCACAAGAAACCCAACCCTGAGACCCCAGGGCATCCAGTGATTTTTGGTGTGGGAACGTCACGCTTGTCACAGCAAAACTATCGAAATCCAGGGCACCCTGGAGGCACGCAAGGTGTTTCTTGGCATGGGTCTCCACTGTATGATGGTTTGTGCGTCTCGGGGTCGCCCAGAGCGTCCTCCCGCGACTTTCTCGGAGCCTCTCGGGTGTTTCTTCGACGTTCTGCGGACCCCTTCGGGGCCATCCGAAAGGTGTCTTGTGGCGCGCCTCCGAGCTCCTGGAAGCCTCCCGAGCGGTCTCCAGGAGCGCACTGCCGAGCCCGGGGGCCCTCCCATAGAGCTGCGAGACCCCGCCGCAGAGCCCTGGCACAGTCGGACCCGGTGCAAAGGAACATCCTTCGAGGACATGAGGCCCTCCGCTGGCCAGAACGCACAAAGCAGCCAAGGGCAACCTCCCCAGGACACACAAGAGCATCCAACAAACACGAAGATCACGAGGGCACCCTCCCCGAACCGGCCTCGATCTTATACCTCGGTCCGACTGTACCGCCATAAAGGTTTGAAAATCCTGGGCGGGGGCCTGCGGCCTCGTCACGGGAATATATACGCAATGTGGTGTCTGCTATGTGGTGCAAGCTGTGTTGTGCAATATATGGGGTGTATAATGCGTAGCGCTATGCGGCGCAATCTGTGACGCGCAGGCTACGTACAGTCGGACCTAGAACAGAAGAACATCCCTCGAGAACATTAGAGCCTCCGCCGGCCAAAACACGCAGAACAGCCAAGGACACCCTCCCCAGGATGCACAAGAACATCCGACAAGCACGGATACATCAGGTCACCCTCCCCGAACAGACCTCGATCTTTTATCTCAGTCCGACTGAACTGAGTGCGAACGATGCAGTGCACTCCGCGTGGCGCTTGCGAAGAAGTGCAAGCTGTGGAGCGCAGTCATTGTTAGAGGGTAGGAAGTCCACCCCCAGAACAAGCACCCCGACAAGCGAAGCCGTTTAGTAAACGCGCCCAGGGAAGGAATCGGACAGGGCAAGGCTGTTTAATAAACGCCGAGGGCTGCTCCGTGAACGCCGACTGTCGGGGCCTGGGTGGCCCTTCCTCCCCGGAATCGTGGTGCAACTTATGCGGTGCAAGCTATATGGTGCAATCTGCGTCGTGCAAGCTGGCTCAGCCCTGACCCGCGTGCAGAACGGATTCGTCCAAAAACCTGTTCTGTCGCAAGGTCGCGCGGACCGCTGCCAACAAGCCGTCTCCCATTGCACGGGGAATGCTTCGCCTGAAAGGCCGCGACTCAAATCCGCCGCGCATCGGCTACGGCGCATCGGCTTCGGCGCCCACGAGTCGCCCACGGGCGCCCGCTCGGGCGGAACACACAAGCGCGACTCAAATATAAAGCGATTTAGTGGTTTTCTGGCCGCGCCGTCGTCGGTTCACTTTCGGTAAAGGGGACTAACGGGTTGGGTGGCCGCGCCATCGCCAGAATTCCCAATCCCTCTTCTTCGCTGCAGTATCTTCGCAGCTCCCCAGGTGGCGGTCGTCAATTTTTTTGTGACCCTCTCGTAGTGGTGAGGGAGGTGTTTCCGTAAGTTTTGCGACCCCCCCCTCATTTTTTCCTGGTGAGTCCACGTCCTCGGCTCTGCCGGTTCCTGGGCTTGCTGTCAACATTTCCCCCGTGACGGACCCCCCGGCACCCACCGACACGCAGCGGCGCCCGCGGGCGCCCGCTGGCCGAGAGCCCGGGGGACGCCAACACCCGCACGAGAGGCGCATACGAGGCGCCCGGGCGAGCACCCACAGGGGCGCGAAGCCCGGGCACTCCTCCTCCTCCGCCTCCGCCTCCGCCTCCTCCTCCTCCTCCTCCTCCTCCTCCTCCCCCTCATCATTGTCAATGGCACAGGATCCGTGCCAATGTAGTTTCACTTATCATGTTATGCGTTGCAGTAAGAAGCAGTGCTGTGAATGATTCGTGGTGATTAATGTACGTGTGCTGTCGCACACGTGAGCTCGCACCGACGCCGTTATTGATCAAATACCGAGGGGCCCCTGAGTCAATCAAAACTACGAGCGAATCTCTTCGATTCCCATTATATTTCTCATTATGTTCTGTTTAGTTCCCTACTTCGCGCGAGAGAACCTCGGTGGTTCCAGAGGAGTGCTACTGAACTTGGTAGCGGAGCCAGTGGCTCCAGATCCGCGGCAAAAGGAATCGGAGACCTCGCATGTGGGTGATCGCACTCACGGAGAGGAAGATGAGATCTTCCGGCTCCGGCGGCGGCCCACGACCCAAGGGCAAAGAAACGCAGCAGCCAGCAGAGGATGCCGGTGACGGCACAGCGGATCAACCAGGAGGCAATGTTGCAATGTTCGGTTGGATGATGGCGACGCGGACAGTGACCTACGAGACGGAGGCCGAGACCAAGGTCGAGGCAGAGGCGATAGACAGCCGCATATGGACGCAGGACTGGCGAAGTGCTGCCCGGACGCGACAGACCTACGGCATGACACGTAACGCAACTTCAGAAGGAGAGCGACGGTGTTCCAGCGACTGTGTCAGCGCCGAGGTGAGACGGTGGTGAGTGAAGGCGCATACCTCTTGCTGCAGGAGCTGCGAGGCGATGCCGGGAACGTCTACGAGAGTATCAGCTTCGAGAGGATGGACACGAACGAGGCGTTCGATGAGATTTTTGGCAAGCTGGACGTGCTGTACAGATCTACGCAAGAAGTTGAGTTGCTGGGAAGATGTGACGCGTTCTTTGGAGAGTTCTCGAGGTTGCCGAAGGAGACTCTGAACGCGTACGTGCTGCGACACGGCCAGGAGTTGTCGAAGCTACGAGAAGCAGGGCTGGACTTACCGGACTTGCTGGCAGGTTGGCACATGATGACGAAATCGGCCATTCCACGATGGCAGATTCTGAACCTGAAGGCGCTTTGTAACAACCAGCTCGCAATGCAGGTGGTGACGGAGTCTCTCAATTCGATGTTCGGCGGCGACAGCACGGCACACAAGAAGGACATCGAGCGCGTGACGAACACGTACGTACTGGGGCAACAGCTACGAAGGTGGCGACAGCTACTGGGCAGAAGAAGAGGACGATGAGGTCTACTGGTACGAGGATGACTACACGGACGAGCTGTACCACGAGGACGACGTGTGGCAAGAGGAAGACGAGGAGCCGATCCCCAAGGAGCTCGAGGACGCGTACGAAACGACGGCGGAGGCCTTCGCGAACTACACGCAGGCCCGGGCGAAGATGAGAGAGCTGGCCACAGCGAGAGGATCATACACGGTGGTGGCATTGATGGACGACCGACGAGGACTACCACCACCGCGGGCCGGCAACATGCGGCCACCCAAAGGACGGACGAGCAAGCTCGGGATAAGGCAAGTCACGTGGAAGCTCAAGCAAAGGAAAAGCAAGAGGCAGATACGGCGGCAGAGTACCATATGGAGGCAGAAGTGGCGCCAAGGGTGGACGGCATCCCGACGGCTCGCCTAAAATGTCTACGGCAGGTGCGACTCAGCAGCACGGGCCACGGATCAAGCGACTAAGAGATGGTGCAGCAGCCGATGGATCCGAAGATGCTGTACGGGATACGTGGCGGCATGACGATGACGGAGATTGCACCGAGCCCCGAAACAACGACGGTAGAAGAAGTGAACTTGGCTACGGGTAAGGGTGTCGGCGACAGTGGAGCAACGAAACCAGTGATGGGTCTCGAGGAGTGGCCAGCATGGCGTGAGAAGCTTCAGAAGATGGGCCTATCCAACGAGATCCAGACGGCAAGATGCCACAAGACGTTTAGGTTTGAAAACGACGAGACCGCGACGGCGAGGCAGCAGGTGACGTTCCCGGTCTGGGTGAGGAACGCGAAGAGGCAGATATCAGTCTATCTCGTTCCAGGACGAGTCTCTGCTGGTGGCGAGGCCCTGTCTCGAGGAATGGGGCATGATGATCGACTACCGCATCAAGAAGGTGATGTATTTAGACGAGCAGCCATCTGAGTGGATCGACCTGGAGACGAATGAGAAAGGACACATGATCATCGATCTGCTCAGCTTCCCATCCGATGTACTAGCAGCAGATGAGGAGTCGAGCTCTACGGACGCGGACACCGTCGGCGACCACAAGGTGGAAAGCGAGAAGGAGACTGACTTTTTCGTGACCAGCAGCTATGGCGATGCCGAGATTGAGAATGCGGAGACCACGAAGTTCGATGCGAAGCAGCTGGAGGATTGGTTCGCAGAGGCCAACCGCACGCTGGACAGCAATCCGAAGGCAAAGAGGCGGTTCTGGGAGATCTTCGTGGCATAAGGGCGCATCGCGCACTTCGTGGAGAAGCACGGCGACTTCAAGACGAAGAAGTTTACGTTGGAGACAGGCTGGGACTTCACGAACGGCTCGCATCGCAAGGCTTTCATGCGGGAGCTGGTGAAGAAGAGGCCTGAAGAAGTGTGGATAGCACCGCCATGCACGGTATGGTCTATGATAAACACGCTGGCGGAAGCGAACAAGAGCAACGAGTACCGACAGCGACGACGGAAAGAGCGTGCCAAGCAGCAGCGCGAATTCCTGAGGTTCAGTCGGGAAATCTACGAGGCGCAGCAGCAGGCGGAGAGGCACGCGCATCTGGAGCACCCTCGATACGTGGCGTCTTGGGAAACCGAAGCGTGGGACGGCATGACGGGCTACGATTTACGTTCGTGGACCAGTGCGCCTACGGACGCATGGCGTTGGACTCGGCAGGTCGAATGCTCGGACTGATCAAGAAGCCGACCAACGTAAGGACCACGAAGCTCCAGATGTACGAGGGACTCTGGAAGACATGCAACTGTAAGGAGAAACACGTGAGTCTCGAGGGTGGACACAGCATGCGTTGCGTGGAGAACTACACGAGGAAGATTGCATTCCAGGCGGCGATCTGCATCGTGGACGATCCGCAGAACGAGGCCAGCTACGCGGTGGAAGAGATGACCCAGGCGGATCTTGACAAGACCGAGTACAAGATGGTGTGGAAGGCGCTGCCGGAGAAGTTCACCATCGAGGAGGTCAAGTAGGTAGAGAAGACACATATCCAGATGGGCCAGCCTTCGAACGAGGCGTTGGCAGCAGCATTAAAGGAGGCGAAGGCGGACGACCGACTAATCAGCTGTGCGAGGATATACATATGCGAGACATGCCTCAAGCGGCAGAGGCCAAAGTCAGTGCGAGTCGCCCGCATCCCTCGGGATCGAGGATTCAACGATACTGTGGATATCGCCACGTGCCATGTGGTGTGGAAGGGCAAGTACACGATGACATTCACCATCATGGACGAAAGCTCAAGGTTCGAGGTCGACACGGTGGTGAAGGACGAGAAGGCACGCACCGAGATCAAAGCGCTCGAGAAGAACTGGATCCACTGGGCCGGAGCGCCGGCAAAGATTCGAGCGGGCCAGAGTGGCGCGCACGTGAGTGAGGAGTTCATGGAGTGGTGCGACGGTCGGCAGATCAAGCTGCAGCTGATCCCAAGAGATGCTCATCATCGGCTTGGCATACTCGAGCGGAATCATCAGGTGCGACGGGAGCCCATAGCACGATACCATGAAGATCATCCTGAGGACAGCTTGAAGCTTGCGGTGCGCACGACATGCGGCGCGCGCAACCAGCTGCGCAGCGTGAAAGGTTCCATGCCATCGCAGCGGGCGCTAGGGAGGCAGCCCAAGAACCTGGGCAGCCTGGCGGACGAGCCGACGACTACGGGCGACCTCGGCGACCACGACGAGGAGTCCTGCCGCAACCTGGCGCGCAGGCGCGACGCAGGCAAGGCTCTTCTGACGGCGAGCGCGGCGAGAGCAGCTCAGAACCGGCCCCCCCTCGAGAGAGCTCCAGATCGGCGAGTGGGTGTACTTCTGGAGGCGCGACAAGGGCGAAAGCGACCTCATCTTTAGCTACTGGAATGGACTGGCGATGATCGCGCAGGTCGAGTGCACGGATGATCCCGATAAGCTTCGACAGTCAGTGCTGTGGTGCGTGTATGGCAGCACGCTCATGCGGACGACGCACGAGCTGTTGCGAGCCGAACTGCCAGAAGAGCGACGGCAAAGAGAAGTAGATGAAGATCGCGGATGACCATTGTCAACGGACGAGCGAGTGCTAGAGAAGCTGAAGAACATCAGCGGATCCACGAAGTTCGTGGACCACACGGGCGAAGTCATCGGCCAGCCGGAAGACTACGAGGGCGAGCACTTCACCATGGAGATTGACAGGCAGGGCGTCGACACGGACGGCCAGGTGGAAGCGACCGAGGCCGATCGGCAGGACGAGCACCATGAGGGCGAGCAGAGCGACGACGGCGGCCGAGGTCGAATTAACCGGACCGAGGTGGCCGAGATGCAGGTGCCCACGGCGTCCGAGCCCCCACGCCCGGACATTTCGGCTGACGCGTCGCCGGACGTGGGAAGCCCCGAGGTGGAGCGCGAGACGACAGCAGTTGGGTCAGGTCAAGAGCAGGTCGGGGTGGAGCGGACGACGAACGGGACCGCGGCTGAGAAGAGAAAGGCAGAGGAGCAAACGGCCGAGGACGGTGATGAGTTGCTGGACGCCATTAACGCGGCCAGACGACTGAACGGACTACGGCCACTACCGAAGCGACCGAAGCAGACCGACGTGACGACAGCGGCCAGCGCCGCGAGCGGCAGTGAGGGCGATGGGCTGCTGCTACTGTACGAGGACGCGGACACGGTTTACCTGACCAACGCGGCCAGATAGGATTCGGTGGTGGAGGCCAGGTTCAGCGTAGACGGAGCGGAGGCAGTTCGATGAGGCGAAGACCATGGCGCTGCAGCTATGGATCGAGAACCAAGCGTGGCAGGCAGTCAAGGAGAACGTGGCGGACGCTGGAAAAGTGTGCCCCATGCGGTTCCTGTTGAAGTGGAAGATGAAGGATGGAGTGGAAGAGGCGAGCGCGAGAGTGACCAGCACTAACGTAGAGAAAGCGAGCCCTACCCTCACGCAACTCACGAGGTTCCTCATCCTGCTCATTCTGTGCCAGCGAGCTTGGAAGATGGTGGCAGCGGACGTGAAGAGCGCATTCCTGTAGGCAAAAGGACATCAGAGAGCAAGGAGTTCTGATTTTCAGCAGGCCGACCAAGGACATACGACGCCGACTAGCAAAGATGATGGGCCTGCAGGACGACGAGATTTGACAGATGCTGAAGCCTGCTTTTGGAGACGTGCGAGCCCCTAGGCAATGTAATCAGATGATCACGGAGGCCATGCTCGAGATAGGCTTCCTGGAGCACGCGCTGGAAAAATGCTGTTTCCTGTCGTACCGCCTGGCGCTCGACGGGGACGATCCGTTCCTGGTCTGGCAGGCGGACAACAACCAGCACTATGTGTTGGACGGAGTGCTGGGGCTGCACGTGGACGACTTCATCGGCGGCGGCGAGAACTTCGAGCGCGAGGAGGACCGCTACAACAAGCAGGCGTACGAGGGCACCTTCTTGGATCGGGTTCAGAGGCTCAACCAGAGGGTCAAGTTCGGCAAAAGGGAGTTCTCGAACAGTATTGTTTTCTGTGGCATGGGGAACACGCAGTCGTTCTCACGCGACGAGATTGAGGTGAAGGCCGAGGCCTACATACACGAGGTGAAGCCGATCAGCGTCGAGAAGACTAGGAGAACACACCCAGACGACCCGTGCACACCGAAGGAGATCAGTCAGCCCAGAGGGCTGAATGGAGCCATGCAGTGGCCAGCGTCTCAGTGCATGGCGCAGGCGGCGGCAACGATTTCGTTCGCGCAGGGTGGCGTCAGCAAGGCGACGGTCGGTAGCTTACTGGAAGCCAACACGTCCCTGAGTTTCCTGAAGGCGAGTGGCGATGTGGGGATCCACGTCAAGTAAGTGGGAGCCTGGAGCAAGCTGAGGCTTGGAGTCTACCGGGACGCGTCCTGGGCTACGAGGCCGAATGGCGAGTCGCAGGGCGGCTACATGATCTTCGTGATCGAGGACGCCAGGATCGACGACGGACAGCCGACGCAGCTGGTGATCGTAGACTGGGCGAGCAAGAAGCTAATGAGGATCTGTCGGAGCTCTCTGGCAGGCGAAGCCCAGAGCGCAGCGAACGCAGTGGAAGCGCTGGAGTTTGCGAAGACGATGCTTACGACGATGCTTTTCCCCACGATGCAGCTGACAGGCACGCAGATGTTGCAGATATTGGGACGACGCCCATGCATGACGGACTGCAAGGCGCTGTTCGACGCGGCGAACTCTCAGGCGGCAACCGGGGGTTTGACGGAGCGCAGGACCGGGATCGAGATCCTGCAGGTCAACGAGAAGATGCGGGAGTTCGGCTGAGTGTGGAGATGGACCAGCACGCATCAGCAGATGGCGGATGGTCTTAAGAAGCTACAGGTGCGGCAGCAATTTCTGGAGAAGCTGAGAAGGATGACCCAAGTACTCAAGTACGATGCGACGTTCACGGCGGGCAAGAAGATCAGCCAGAAAGAACGAGCTCAAGCCGATAGAGAGCAGGACGAAGCGGCGGCGGACTTCGACGAGGCGAATCAGGCTGAAGACGCAGAAGCCGAGGACGGCGACGAGCATGAGGACCAGCTGAGAGAACATGTGCGAACGACGATTGACGGTACCCGTACGGCAAAAAAGATTGCAGAGATCGTGGCGGCGGCGGCTACGAAATGTGCCAAAGGCGAGAAGATCGAGAAGGTCGAGCCAGAGTTTCCATGGGTGCTGGTTTTGTTGTTTGTTCTGATGGTGGCGATTATATTATGCTATGGATGCGCACTGGCGGCTATGTGCTGGCTCAAATACACGACAGAGCAGAAGCTGATGGACGAGGTTCGTGTACACCGAGATTGCACGCGCGATGGCTGAGCAGAGGGCCGATGCAGCGACGACGGAGCCGAGGGCGAACGACGAGAGAGTGACGGACAACAAGAAGCTCGTGCGGACGGCCAGCACCCAGAGCCAGTGGACGTACAGGCGTGATCTGACCACGCCGAGGTTTCAGTATTTGCGAGAGTTTGAACAGATGGCATCATTGAGCACCGACTTCGTGGCTTGAGCAAATGATCAGATTGAGGATGGAAGATTACCCCCGGCGAGATATGACGGTATGGATGCAAGCACGTTTCATGTTATCTGGGAGAGCGGCCAAAAGGCTTCCCGTTTTACCACCCTGTGTCAATGGCACAGGATCCGTGCCAATTTAGTTTCACCTGTCACGTTATGTGTTGCAGTTAAGCAGTACTGTGAATGATTTGTGGTGATTAATGTACGTGTACTGTCGCACACGTGAGCTCGCACCGACGCCCTCATTGATCAAATACCGAGGGGCCCCTGAGTCAATCAAAACTACGAGCGAATCTCTTCGATTCCCCTTGTATTTCTCATTCTACTCTGTTTGGTTCCCTACTTCGTGTGAGACAACCTCGGTCGTTCCAGAGGAGTGCTACCGACACTCCTCCTCCTCCCTCCTCCCTCCTCCTCCTCGTCCTCCTCCTCCTCCTCCTCCTCCTCCTCCTCCTCCTCCTCCTCCTCCTCCTCCTCCTCCCCCATCGGCGGCGGTTACGACGCGCCCTCGGGCCGAGCGAGGAGGGCAAGGTCGTTCTGCTCGTGGGGCACGGGGGAGGAGGATGCAGCAGGGCATCCGGGCCCCAGGCTGGGGGGGGCGACTCCGTGCGTGCACACTGCAGCCGCGCGCAGCAGGCGCACTCGCCCCAGCTGCTTCGCTTGTCTGCTGGGTCTCGCCCACGTGTGTGTATGCAGGGCGGAGCGTGGACAAGGATCGCTCCGGGGGTGATGGGTACGTAGATAGATCGGAAGGGTAGCAGAGGAGGGTGGAGCCACGATCCTGTGAAAAATGAAATGGATCCTCTCTCCAGGTCGGTCACCCTCGGAATTGCATTGAGCTGTGCGCTGATACAGCGAAGCTACAGCCATCTGCGAAACACGACGCTTATCATTTGGAGACCCACGGACTGGACAAGTGCCCGTCGACACTGGCCAGATGACTACGATATCCCCAGCAGCGTCATTCGATACAGCGAAGAGGAAGGGGCCGACACATTTCTGAAACGCTTCGTGCCATTACTGCATCCAAGGGTATTGTCTCCGTAACCGTCCAGGGCGCTGAGGATCGCCTTGCTCATCTGCACGAGCAACAACAATTCCGACGGCTTGTCTGGCTGCTGTGAGTGTATGATCCCGTGGACAAACTCTTCGATGTCCAGCGAGCCACTGCCATCGACGTCCAGCATGCGAAAGACCTCCTCGAGCGCGAGCGGCGGCAAGTCGCAGATGTGTGTGATCTGGTCCTGGAGCTCCCTCGGTGCCTCCTTCAGCTCCTCCAGTACGACATCACCGCTGCCATCGGCGTCCAACGTCGCGAGAAGCTTCTTCAGCTTCGGCATCATTGACCTCTTCCTGTCTGCCTCCCACGTCTTCTTCGCTTCCAGGTCATCATTGGCAGTGCGGATCGACGATTCCACCATGATCGCGGTGATGATGCTCATGAGCGCAATCGGGCCAACCATGTAGAATGCTAGGAACACGAAGCTGAGCAACCCGTTTGCCTCGATCAATGGTCTGTAGATTGGGGCCGACCCGTCAAGTGCCATCATCTGCATGAACGTCAGTATGGAACTGCCCATCGAATGGAAATTCTCTTGGGCCTCCAACGAGAGGTCCTCGTCGCTGCTCCCGACGATCGTCTCCATGCCAAGTATGGCGAAGACGTAGACGACCATCATCATGATCATACACGTCCAGAGCATAGGAAGGAGGGAATGCAGGAGACCTTGCACGAGTAGCCACAGAGTGCGGAACTGTATTACCACCCGCACTGTCCTAGCAAGGCGAACGAGACGAAGCATCTTGAGCATGTTCATGTTGCCCGCCATCATTTCCAACGCCCCGCAACCGACTGAGACCATTGTGAGCGCCAAGCTCGTCAAGCCAGATACTACGAGCGCGGTGTCAAACTTTACCCAATTGCTTGATAAAGACTCCTTTACTCCGACAGCGTGAAAGCGCAAGCTTAGCTCGACAACGTAGATGACTAGAAAGAAATACTCGATGACAACCATGCTCGCGGGGATGCCATCGCCATGGACTGTTTGCGACGTCTCCACACCGATGGATAAGGAATTCATGATAATGACCACTCCCATGAAGTAGTCGAAACTACGAGAAGTAACGATGTCAAATGCTCGCTTCTTTGATGCAGTCGTTGCGTTGTCTTTCTTCTGATGGAAGACCCAGTCTGGATTACACTTCGCCTCGGGACTAATGAGTTTCTCCTTTCCTGATTTGTGGATGCGCTTAATGATCTCGACATCTTCTTCTGGCAACAGACTGAACGATGACTTCCTGTGCTTCCTGGGTGAAGAGCTTGATTTGGGTGAGAATGAGATCGAGGTGTCTGTCGGAGCCCTGGAGCCAGAGGGGAGCGAAACTGCGGCGTTCGGCAGTGCAAACCCAACGCCCGCGTCGCTAACGTCCGTCACGGTACCGTCGGAAGCTTGCCAAGCATTCCGCTGCGAGTGCTGCTCGAAGATGGCGCTCCCTGGCAAATGTTGCTCGAGGTCATCCTGAGGCGGACCACCTTCAACAATCGGAAAGAGCTGCGGGGCCATGCCAGATGGTCGGCGGCGAGCGAGGGGGGGAAGGAGAAGGCCTGCTCAAAAGGCGCGGAAATCCCCGGGCCGTCTGAGAAGCTTTCTAAGCCTGCCCCGGCGGCACGGAACACTTCTCAGAAGGCGCGAGGGCTTGTGAGAGAAGCCCCGCCGCCTTCTGAGAAGGCCTTCTCCTTCCCACTTCCACCCGGGCGCGCCGTCGAATGTGGCTTTTGGGTCATAGCTCGGGTCTCCAGCGGCCGTTCGGGACGATCCGGGCACCCCCAGAACGCCCTCGGCGAGGCGCAGCTGCTGGCGAGCGTCCCGAGGCCGGAAAACCGCCGAGAACCGACGACGACGTCCGAAAACCTCGAACCCCGAACCCGCAGCCTCGAACCTCGAGCCTCCAGCCTCGAAAGCCTCATTCTCACTTCCCCCCCTCGCTCGCCGCCGAGATGGAGCCGTCGCACCTCCAGGCGCGGCCTCCGCTTCCTGGGCGGCCCCCGCCCTCCTCAGGGCCTGGGCCTTCTGCCCCAGGGCCCTCGCCACCGTCGGGGGCGGCGGCGCCGCGGGCGCGGGCTCCGAGGGCGTGGGCCTGCGCTCGGGGCCGGGGGTCGCCACTGGCTGGCCTCGCGACTGGCGGATCGCCACGCTGAGAGCACTGCGGAGCTCCCGCTGGTAGTCGGCCTGCGGCTTTACCCACCAAGCCCTCCCGACCCAACCCGAAGGCCCGAATTTCGCCCGAATTTCGGGTTTGGGGGGGGGATGGGCTTCATCATGCGTTTTTTCGATGCTCCCCGACCCCCCCCCCCCTCTCTGGAAATGGAGGGCAAATCGGGGTCTTCGGGTTGGGCTGGGGTGGTTTGGTGGGCGGCGAGCCTGCAGCTGGGGGAACAGACTGCGCATCGAGGACTCGACGATGCCGTCGACGAAGTCCCCGTCGTCCATGCCAATGCCCTCCGCGCGGTCGCCGACCATGGCACACGGGGGCGCTCTGCAGAGCGCCGGGTTCCAATGCCGTTGCGAGCAGAGGCTGCCGCAAACGCTCGCAGGATCAGCGCGCCACGCCCGGCTGAGCAGGCTTGGGGCTGGCACGGCTTCAGACCAAACCGACGGGGCGGGGATGTCTTGAGGGCCCTGCGAAGGCCTCCTGTCAGATGGCCTCCGGACGGGAGGAGAGGGCTGCCAAGAGCCACGCGAGCGCCCAAAAAAGGCTCCCGGATGGCCAGAGGGCCGCAGTCGGAGGTGGACAAACCTCCCTTTAGTAAACCTCCCTCTAGTGATAACGATGTAGGACCGAAACCGACGGACCTGGACCCGCAAAAAATGGCGGCCGCGACGCCCTCCCGCGAACCGAAAACGGCCAATTCGCTAATCGACGCGTCAGGGCAGGAGGCCTGTCAACCCCCGACGCAGTCGGTCTCCAATCAGGGCCAGGACGCCCCCAAAGGCGACGGGAGAGAGGGCCCTGCAGTAATGCGTCGGTCGGCGGCGGGCCAGCTGGGGGGGAGGTGCGGAGGGGGCGGGCGCTCCCAGAAGGCTCGGACGTCCCCAGGCCTTCTGAGAAGTTCTCGGAAGCCATCCCCGGAGACACGGACAACTGCTCCGAAGACGCGAGTGCTTCTGTCAGGTCGGGCATGTCCCCCCCACACAGGCGGATCTTGGGGCGAGAGATGAAACGTGGTCAAGACATGCTCGAAGACGGTCAACAACTGCTCGAAACATCGCCCCCAGGCTATGTTATGTTGCCTGTCTTCGCAATGCTCCTCCTGCGGAGGGACAGGCCCGACTCTTAAGGCTTCCGAGAGAAGCCCCGCCCGCCCTCTGCGAGGGCCTGCTCTCGCGGCGCGGGCCTGGCCTGCCCCCCCCGGGGGCCTCCGCCGCCCCCCCCTCTCTCGTTCCTGCGTCGTCCCCCTTGCTCGGCGGCGGGCTGTGGACGCCACGACACTGGGCACCCTGACAATCCGATCATCGCACTAAACGTGTGTTTAAGGTGTGCGAGCCGTGTGCTGGAAGTGTCTGAAGCATGTTTTAACATGTTTGAGACATGTTCAAATCTGGAGCTTACTTGGCAACATGCTTCCTCTCCATTGGTCGTCGTCCACAAGGAGCGGGCCTTCTGAGAAGGCTCGGACGGCCTTCGCCCTTCTGAGGAATAGTCTTAGCCTTCCCCGGAGACACAGAACACTTCTCGGAAGGCCGGAGGGCTTCCGAGAAGCCCCGCCTTCTAGGCGACCACATGTGAACCCTACCTCCACCCCACGATTTCTAAGGGAGAGTGGGGGTTCACTTCGCTCGGGAGCTCCTGAACGAAGTGACCCCCCCCTTAGAAATCGTGGGGAGTGGGGGAATGGTTCACATGTGGTCACCGACTTTCTCCCGGGGAGCGCCGCCGATTCTTGTCTCTCTCCCGTAGCTTCGAGGTCACAGCGGCCTGCCGCCCGGCTGAAAATCCTGCTGGGGCGGAGGGGACGAGGGCTGCCAGTCTACGGCGTCATCGTTCGGGGAGGGGAGCGGCCAGGGGAGCGCGTTTGTCCGGAGGTGGTGCCCATGGCGCGGGTGGGATCATTGCCAACTGTGCGCCGGCGCAGCCACTCCGTAGAATAAGGACGCACGAGAAGGATGCGAGGGCATCGGAAGGACATGCCGATACCTTGCGAGCGGGGCGCGGCCAGCGAAAGCGGCCAGGGATGGGCCGAAGGGGGATGATGCAAGGATAACCTTGGAAAGTCGCTGATCCTTACCATGCCCGTCGACTGTGCTCGAGACTGGCTCAGCCTCAGGGAGCATCTCTCCATGTGGACAGAGGCAGGCAGGGGTGAGATGCGAGGCCGGCTTCGAGACAGAGTCCAGTGCAACACGAGGCGAGGCACCGAGGTGAAGCGAGGCGAGACAGCGCGACTGGAGGCGATGGCGGGGTGGTGGAGGTGGTGGGCCGACTCTCGCAGGACTGGCGTACTGGCCATCGATGCTGCGCCACCGACGCGAGCGACCTCTCAAAACCTTCGAGAACCCCGTCGGGGATCCGCCACCGTGCCCCCCTGGCATGCAGGGGCACACTGGAGTGCCAAGGTTCTATCGTCTGCTGGTCAGCCCCCCGTCTCTTCACCCTGCCCTGCGCCCATCGCCCCCACCTCCCGAGGCCACACACTCGCTCGCGGAACACAGCAAACTCGCGCTCCCGAGGCCAAGGTGCCTCCAGGACGGCCCATCAGGGCTCCAAGACGGCCCACTTTGGCCTCGACGCGCCTCAAGGATGCCTCAGGACGGCCCAAGTCGATTTGCCTTCGAGGCGTTCCAAGAGAGCCCCTTGCAATGGTCTTTTATGTTTCTAAGGCTCAAGCGGCCCAAGGTGCTCTCGGGAGGGCCCCAAGAAGGCCCAAGAGGGCCCCAAGGCGGCCCTAGAGGCGCCCAAGGCTGCCCAAGAGGGCCTCAAGACGGCCCCAAGAAGGGCCAAAGAGGGGCAACACGAACCGAGAACTCGAGCCTTCCGCCCCAAGAGGTCTAATGATTCCTGGCCAAATGAGGCCCCCAAAGAGGATCCCGCGAGGCAAACACTATTGATGTTCGCTGGGTTGTTCAATCTCGGTGGCAACTCATGGGAGCCTCCCATACCATCTTGTCGGCTCTTGCGAATCGACGCTAATCGACGCTAGTCGACGCTAATCGATGCTAAATCGAAGCTACATCGACGCTCATCGACGCTCACCGACGCTAAATCGGCGCTACCTCATCGACTCTAAGACGCTGATCGACGCCAGTCAACGCTAAAGGCAAATTCAAAGAGGGTATACCACTCTCCCAGGATATGCTACCGAATTCCATGTTTTGGGGCTTCTCGCCTTTTCGAGCCTCCGACGCTCCAAGGCGGCCCGAGAGGCCCCCAGGACCGCCCCAAGACAGCTCAAGAGGCCCTCAAGAGAGCTCCAAGATGACCCACGAGGGCTCTAAGACGGCTCAAGAAGGTTCCAGAATTGCCAAGAAGGCCAGAAGAGGCCCCCATCACCAATCTCACCATCATCATCATCATCATCATCATCATCAGCAGCAGCAGCAGCAGCAGCATCACCATCATCATCATCATCATCATCATCATCATCAGCATCATCATCACCCCACCATCATCACCCTCATCACCATCATCATCATCATCATCATCATCATCATCAACATCATCGTCATAACCATCAGCATCGTCATCAGCATCATCAGCATCATCATCAGCAGCATCAGCATCATCATCATCACCATCATCATCATCAACAACATCATCATCAACATCATCAACCATCATCACGATCAGCATCACCATCACCATCACCATCACCATTATCATCACCATCACCATCACCATCATCATCAGCATCATCAATATTAGCATCATCATCATCATCATCATCATCATCATCATCATCATCATCATCGGCAACACTGTGATTCCCCAATCAGAGCTTGCCTCCATAGGGGTCCTAGCGGATTCATATGGCTAGGTGAGCTTTGCCACCGATTTCCGCGGCCCGCCCGGGTGCCTTATAGCCTTATTGCCCTATAGCCCTGTAGCCCCATAGCCCTATAGCCCGATGGCCCGATAGCCCTATAGCCCAATAGCCCTGTAGCCCTCCAGCCCTGTAGCCCTACATCCCTGCAGCCCTATCGCACTAGAGTCCTATAACCAACCCTATAGCCCTATGGCCCAATATCCCAATAGCCCTATAGCACTATCTCCCTATAGCCCTATAGCGCAATAGTCCAATAGCCCTACATCCCTATCTCCCTATAACCCTATAGACCTATAGCATTACCCCCTTATAGCCCTATAGCTCTATATGTATAGTCCTATAGTCCTGTAGCTCTCCCTCTCTCTCTCTATTTATATATATATATGCCTATAGCCCTATAGCCCAATAGCCATTTAGCCCTATAGCCCTATGGTTCTATAGCCCTATAGCCCTATAGCCTTGTAGCCCTATAGCCTCGCCCTAGAGTCCTATAACCCTATAGCCCAATAGCCCAATAGCCCTGCGGCCCTAACGCCATATTTCCCGATATCCCTACTGATCTATAGACCTATGACCCTATAGCTTTACAGCCCCATAGCCCTATAGCCCCACCGCCCTGTAGCCCAATATCCCCACAACCATATAGCCCTAAAACGACTTTGCTAGGGGCTTCTCTCCGGTAACAATATTACTATTGTGGCTGCCATTGCTATCTTGATTGCCAGTAGTATTGATGTATATATTAACAATATTGGATGTTTAGTATTGTTGTTACTGCTCGTACTATCATCACGATTGGTATTATCACGATTGGTATTATTATGCTTGTTACCGTTCGTATTGATACTACTAGCATCAGCACCATCAGCATCAGCAGCATAAACCTCATCACCAGCATCATCATCATCAACAACAGCACCATCACCATCACCATCACCATCACCGTCATCATCAGCAGCATCAAACTTACGATCATCATCACCATCGTCATCTTCAGCAAGCTTGCTACCAATCGCAATTGTTTGATTGTGACTGTAATTGTTATCTTGATGGCTCACTCGTATTTTTATGCTGATTATTCGTATTGGATTTAAAAAGCTTTTTGCTACTAGTATTATCACGAGTGTTATCATTATGCTTGATATTTCTTAGTAGTACCATTCGTAATATTACTATCATCGTCCTCATCATCATCATCGTCGTCATCAGCATCACCCCCATAATCATCAGCAGCATCATCATCAGCATCATCATCAACATCCGCATCAGCATCCGCATCATCATCATTACCAACAACAGAACCACCATCATCATCGCCACCATCAACATCATCATCACCATCATCAACGTCGTCATTATCATCGCCATCATCATCCCATCATCAACATTATCGGCATCATCATCCCCATCACCGTCTTCGTCCTCATCCCGACAATCACCACCACCGTCATCAACACTATCATCACCATCATTCTCGTCATCCTCGTCGTCATCATCAGCATCACCGTCGCCCCTGACGGGGTTACAGACTTCGAACATGCACCAAAACCACAAACGGCCGAGGTGTCACACGTGAAGGCGTCAAACACCTTGCTCCCAAG